GCAGCGCGAGCAGCCCGAAGTGCATGGTGATTGTTTTTTTCATTGTTTTGCCGATCGGCGCGGGCCCTCGAGGCCCCCCTCCCCCCCCCCTATGGAGTAGATCTTGGATGGTTTTGGCGCCTGTTTCAGGCAGGTGGGGTCTCCCCACAGGACGCACGGTCCCAAACAGGCGCCATGAAGCAGAGGTCCTGGGCCAGACCCCCCCCCCTTCCGCCCAGTGTCGAAACGCCGAATAGAGAAACGTTCACGGGGAATGCTTCGGAGGCACCGGGGCGTGGGGTGGCGACTCTCTCTTTGCCGGGCGGCCGTTTCCGGGCTCCAGGGCCGACCAGAAGCCATTCGTGCCCCCCCACAGTCGGCGGCGAACGAGGGGGGGAAATGCGAAGGAGCAGGCCTTCTCAGAAGGCGCCGGGCCTTCTCAGAAGCCCTCGCGCCTTCTGAGAAGCTTTTCTCCTCGTCCTCGGGGGAGGCTCAGGAGACTCCTCCGAAGGCCGGGGGACCTCCGAGCCTTCTCGCTTCCCCCCTCGCTCGCTCTCCCCCACACGAGGGCCTCGTGGGGGTGGGCGCTCGCCCCCCCCCCTCCCCCCTCCCCGGCCCCGGCCCGCGCTCGGGCGGCTCCGGCCTGGCGCTGCAGAACGGGGGGGCGAGACCTCCAGGAGGGGAGAACCGGCTCAGGAAAAGAATATGGGGAACTACGTGAAGGGGGGAGGAAGACGAAAACACAGAAAGGATCGGAGGAATATGGGGAACATCCTGGGATTCGTGTCTATTTCTTTGTGTGTCCCTGGGTCCCTTAGAAACGGCGGGGGGGCGAGATCTGGCCCGTCCTCTGCAGGGTTTCTTGGGCTGCCACAATAATTCTGCCAACAGGGCGCGTGGAGCTCAGTCGCCGCCCGCACCCGCCCACCTCGGGCAACACAAGCATCCGGGTGGAATTTTCTTGCCCATCGTCGACGCACTCATCACGATCACCAGCACCCATCATTTCCATCGTCTAGAGCTAGACTTAAGTCGGGCCTGTCCCCCCCCTACGGGGGGATTTTCGACGAAAGATAGAAAATACCCCAACATAGTCAAAACATAGTCCAAAAATAGTCTGAGGACTATTTTGGGGGTATTTTTGTTGGCCTTTTTGGGGTATTTTTGGTGTATTTTGCATTTTTCGTCGAAGATCCCTCTGTAGGGGGACACGCCCGACTTAAACTAGACTGTATAGTGTAGTAGAGTATAGTAGAGTGTAGAATGGAGTATAATGGTCCAGCAATTGGAAGGTTCTTCTCAACTGCACAACAGCTCACGCATCTCCTGGTCTCCTTTCTTCGTCCGCATCACTGGGTCTCTTGGCGCATAATGTTGTCGACCGACTGTTTGCGTTGTGCTTGCTGTTTTGTTGCTTGTGTTTTTTTTGTGTGTTGTCCTATGTGTGTTTGTGTGTGTGTGTGTGTGTGCGTTGCCTTCGTGCCCTAGAATGACCCTAGAGGGCCAGCCTGGGGCCCCAAAGGGGCACGTGAGGTTCACGCTCCCCCCCCCATATTTGAGCGACGCAAGAAAACGGGGCCGTCGTCGCCGACGTTCGCGCGTAAGCTGCTCGCGTAAGGTCGCGCGTAAGCGCCCTCGTCTCCAGCCCAGCGTGCCGCGCTGGCGGCCCGCGCAAGCTTCGGCGTAGGGTCGCTATGCCATCTCGTGTAAGACAAGTTTTTGAGCTCCGCCCAGTTGTCGCCCCCCATGAAGAAGCGCCCAACCTGCTCTCTCCCCCCGCGCGCCCGAGGACCTGCGGCTCGAGGCGCTGCTGGCCGTGGAGCTCTGGCTCCCGCTGCTGCGCTTCCTGGACCCCCGGCCGCGGGGGCGAGGGGCGGCCGCTTTCGGCGGCGTCGTGCCCAAACTTGCTCGCGCTTGGAACAGACATCACGTCGGTGGGGCCCACATCTGCTCGAGCCCAGCCGCGTCGGGAGGGCCCTCGGCCGTTCTCGGCCTCGGCGCGGGGATCCGCCGGGCTCTCCTGGGGGCCGCCGCGGAGAACGGCTCGGGACGCAATGCCAGACCCTGGGGACTGGGCTGGGGCTCCCAGGGGGGAGGCGGCCCCGCGGGGCCCTCGCGCGGCGGCGCGCCTTGAAGGCTCAGCAGGCCTCTGGCCTTCTGGCAGGGGCTCCTCAGAAGACCACAGGGCTTCGGAGCAGCCCTGCTGGGAAACGTCGCCGCCTTCTGAGGAGGCCTGGCCCCCCCCGCCTTCTGAGAAGGCCGCCCCAGCCTTCGGAGGAGTCCCGCCGCCTTCTGAGAAGGCCCGTGCCTCCTGGGCGGCGCAGAGGGCTGTCGCCGCGGCCCTTCTCTTCGCCGTGCGCCCTGGGCCGCCGCCGCCTTCTCCGAAGATTGCGACGACGATGGACGCCGACGACGACGCTGACGACGACGACGACGGCGAGAAACGACGACGACAGCGACGACGACGACAGCGACGGCGACCACGATTGACGACGACGACGACGACGACGACGACGTCGACGACGACGACGACGAACGACGACGATGGACGACGACGGTGGCGATGCGATGGACGACGAAGGACGACGACGACGACGGCGATGGACGACGACGACGACGACGACGACGACGGCGATGGACGACGACGACAATGTCGGCGATGGACGACGACGACGGCGATGGACGACGACGACGACGACGGCGAATGACGGCGATGGACGACGACGACGGCGATGGACGACGAAGGACGACGACGACGGCGATGGAAGACGACGACGACGACGACGACGACAGCGACGACGGCGGCGATGGACGACGACGACGACGACGGCGATGGACGACGACGACGATGGCGACGATGGACGACGACGACGACGGCGATGGACGACGACGACGACGGCGATGGTGGGGACGGCGGCGATGGACAACGACGACGATGGCTGTAATGGACGGCGAAGGCGACGGCGATGGACGGCGGCGACGACGACGGCGATGGACGATGGTGACGACGACTGCGACCACGATTGGCGACGACGATGTCGACGACGACGACGACGACGGCGATGGACGACGACGACGACAACGTCGTCGATGGACGACGACACCGACGACGACGATGGACGACGACGACGACAACGACGGTGATTGACGACGATGGACGACGACGACGATGGACGACGATGGGCGACGACGACGACGACGGCGATTGATGACGACGACGATGGCCACGATGGACGACGACGACGACGACGACGGCGTTGGGCGATGGACGACGGCGACAGTGATGGACGTCGACGACGACGACGGCGATTGACGACGACGGGGACGGACGACGACGACGGTGGCGACGGACGACGACGACGACGATGACGGCGATGACGGCGATGGTTGACCGCGACGGTGGCGAAGGACGACGACGACATCGGCGGCGATGGACGACGACGACGACGGCGGTGGCGACGGCGGCGACGGACGACGACGACGACGCCGATGTCGGTGATGGAAGGCGACGACGACGGCGATGGACGGCGGCGACGACGACGGCGATGGACGACGACGACGATGGCGATTGACGACGATGGACGACGACGACGACGACGGCGACGAAGGACGACGACGACGACGACGACGGCGATGGACGACGACTACTACGACCACGACGACGGCGATGGACGACGTCGACGACGACGACGACGGCGATGAACGACGACGACGACATCGACAAAGGCGACGGCGATGGAACACGTCGACGCTGCCGTCGACGGCGATAGACGCGGGCGACGACGACGACGGCGATAGACGGCGACGGCGACGACGACGACGACGGCGATGGACGACGACGACGACGGCTATGGACGACGACGGCAACGGCGATGGATGATCACGACAACGATGGCGACGACGGCGATGGATGACGACGGTGACGACGGCAATGGACGACGACGATGGACGATGACGACGACGGCGACGACGACGACGATGGCGGTAATGGACGACGAAGGCGACGATGACGACGACGATGGACGACGACGACGACGACGACGTCGGCGATGGACGACGACGACGACGACGACGACGACGACGACGGCTATGGAAGACGATGGACGACGTCAATAACGACGACGACGACGCTCGCTCTCTCCCCATCCTGTGCAGCAGAGGATGTGGAGGACATGGAAGCGGATCCTGGTGGAAGAGGAGCAGGAAAACGAGGTCGGTTGATGAGTAATACCAGTGCTGCATGGGGGCGAGCCGCGAGCCAATTTTCAATTTTCTCTACAAGCCGAAGAGGGAGCAGCCCAGCATGATACCTTCTCATCGTAAGTTCTCTCAAAGTGCATTTGGAAGGGGCTATCGACGTTTTGCATGTGTGTTCACGACTGTTCGCCGAAGCCGGGGAACACAGGCGAGGGGCTTTTGACAGCCTCAACAGTCCTATCGCAGGCCCGAGGGGAACAGTCTCACCGACGTTTGCGGCACGACGGGTATACACGGACAGACTACAGCATGAGTTTAGTCTTACACGCTCGGAAGTGCACATGCAGGAGGAGGGTGGAAGCCAAAGGAGGAGGGGGATCCTTTGGATCCTTTGGATACGGGGACACAGTCCCTTCTCTTCCGGAACTTCGGGTACGGGGGCCATCCAGACCTTTTGCGGGTCCGTGCAGAGGGGGCGACAGCCCCTGCGCGGCACCCCGACAGGCCCCCGCACCCCGACAAAAAGTGCTTGCACTGCGCCCCCACGGCGCCGACCCGAAGCAGCCCCAGGGAGCGCGGTTATCTTCGTTCCCACGCGCAGCCCCGAGGGCCAGGGGTCCACAAGCGCTCAAGCGTCGGCCCCGCGCACGCGGTGCCGCTGCTTCAGGGCCTTCCAGTGCTCGTCGTCGTCCGATTCGTCGAGCTCCCACGGCGGGACGGGCTCGTCCTTCCTCTCGTCGTGGGCCTCGACGTCCTGCTTCTCGGAATCGGTCTTGATCTTCTGGGCGGCGACATCCGAGAGGCTCACCGTGTTGCTCTCGCCGTCGCCCTTCTGGTGCTCCTGCTCCAGCTTCCGCCCGAGCTTCATCATGATGGGGTTGACGATGCCCTCCAGCTCGTGGTGCTTACGCTCGAGCTCCTGCTTGCTGTCGGCCGCAGACTTCCCATCGGCCTGGTCCTCCAGCCAATCGAGGGTGTTGTCGATCGCCTTCCCGATCTTCTCCTTGTCTTCATCCTTGAACTTGTCCCTGGCCTCCGCCTCCAGGAAGGTGTTGTGCAACGTGCAGCAGTAGTCCAGGAGGCCGTTCCGCGCCTGCTTCGCCATCTCGTCAGGCTGCTTCGACACCTGCCCGTCCATGGCCTCCGTGAGCTGCACCTTGCGCTCGGCCTGCATATTGAGGTTCTCATTTTTCTCCTTGTCCTTGTCCTTGTCCTTGCCCTCGAAGGTCTGGAACTGCTCCTGCTTGGCGTTCGGCGCCACGCTTGCAACCTGGGGCGTGTCGCCCAGGATGCCGACGCCCTGCAGCTCCTCGTTTACCTTCTTGGTGTCCTTCTGGCTCCTCATCAGGTCCTGCACGGTCAGCTGCAGCTTCTCGACTTGTCCTTGCAGCTCATGGAGATGCTGCTTCGCCGCCTCGGAGTCCTTCTGGATCCGCTCCTTGCAGCTCTTCCCGTGATCCTTCGTCGAGTCCTCCTCGTATGCCTCCTCCGAGAGTTTACCGTCCTGGTCGCCCTCCGTCTCCGAGCCGTCCGAGAGCAACAGGTCGACATCACCAGGGAGGCCCACATCCAAGTGCGCTGAGGAGTTCCTGATCTTGCTCACGCGTCCCAGGCGAGAGGCGAGCGCCTGGCCGCCGCGGGCGCGCAGGAACTCCTTCGCCTTCGAGAGCGAGGGTTTCGATGCCAGGCCCAGGCCACGCTGGACAGCCACCAACACTTCTTCCTGGAGGACGAGCGAGATGCCTGCGCCCTCTACGTCTTTCTTCCCGCAGCCGCCGAAGGCCGTGCCGCGAGCCACCGCGGTCAACAAGAAGGCCGACTGCCTGGCCGAGCATCCGGAGGCGAGGATCGCCATCGCGGCCCCGAACGCAGCCTGCGCAGCCGGGGAGGCCGCCAGGGCCTCCATCGCTCCACGCCCCGCCGCCGGCGAGGGACACGCGGCCAGCTCCTGCCCAATGGCTTGAGCCAAAATGGCTACGGAAAAAGGAAAAGGAGGAGGGGGAGGAGGAGGAGGAGGAGGAGGAGGAGGAGGAGGTGGAGGAGGAGGAGGAGCGGCAAGCTGCAGCGACAGCCTCACGCCTGGTACACCCGGCAGAGGGTTAGCAGGGCAGTTAGATGGATCACCACTCGCAGCCGCAGGAGCCGTGGGCATGAGTGAAGACATGCACTTGCACGAAATCGCCACCACAATCGTCGCACATGACGTTGGACGAGCCATGGCCAAACAACACGACGGTGCCACCACAGACAGCCCAAAACCATGCATTCACGTCCAACACAATACGAGAGTGCGCGGAACCTATCACGAGTCCCGGATTTCGATCTAGCAACCTACGAGGGAATGCGAGGCGACATCGAGCCGAACCTGAGGCCAGGATTTTGATCCGGCGAATCACGGGTGGACAGCGAATCTAGCACGAGGCTGGGATTTCGATACCCGCCCCTTCCACGAAACCAGCCCGACACATCACCAGCCTAACTCAAGGTTTGCGTGACACTCAGGAGGCAGCAGGGGTGCACCTGAACGGTCTCTTGTCGTTTGCGAGTGCCGTTCTCGTTTCGATGTCGTTTTGCAGCACCGGCGAATTTCAGACAAAGCGAGGGAACACGAGAACAAAACGAGAACGGGAAGCACTGCTTAGGCCCAGCCCTGGGAGGCAGTTCCGAGCAGACTCTCCCGTGGCCCCTGGAGGAGCGGCCCCGACCCCGCGAGAGCTCTGCCCCGACCTCTGTGCCGAGGCGCGCGCGCGGCGAGCCGGTGGCGCCACGCGAGCGCCCGGAGGCACCGCGTGCGCGATGGAGCCGCCGCCGCTTGCCATCGGCATCCCCCCAACATACTTATACTATGTGTTCGTCGCCCCCCCAGGGGCGACGCGCGCACCGAGACATCTTGTAGTATATGCGTCGTGGCGGGCGCTTTCTGGCCACACCGCTCGAGAAACGATATACTACAAGATGGGTATACTATATGTTCGGGTCGGACGCGCGCCTCCAAGGCGGACATATAGTATTAGTATGTCTCTGTGCGTCCCATGCCAGTTCGCTCGGGTCGGCGCTCTGGGTGCCGAGGTGGAGCTTCTTCTCGGCGGCGAGCGAGAGGGCGAAGGGAGAAGGAGAAGGCCTTCCCAGAGGGTTCAGAAGTCCCCCAGCCTTCTGAGAAGGTGTCTAGGCCTTCCCCGAAAACAGAAACAAATTCTAAGAAGTCGGGAGGGCGTCTGAGACGCCCCGCCGCCTTCTAAGAAGGCCTTGTCCTTCTCATTTCCCACCCTCGCTCGCCGCCGCTCTTCTTGTTCTGACCGTAGCACTTCGCGATTCGCAAGAGTCGGATCTGAGGCCCAAACGCTACTCGCGTCCAGGGGGCTTGGCTCCCAAGCTGTTCGCAAGACCATGCTGACGAGCCCATTGGTGGACACACCACGTGGCCGCGACCCTACTCGCGTACGCTCTCGCTGCAGATCCGGCCCGCGCTGCGGGCGGCTCCGACCTCGGGGCGGGCCGAGTCGAAGAGCCAAGGGCCGACCCCCCGGGGACCGCGGACCTCGAACTGATGGAGATGTTCGCAGTTCTTGATTGATGATGGTGGGCACGATGGTATGTCGCCTCCTGTTGGAGCCTGAGTCTGCCAGACTGTCCAGCGACTTATTTCGGCCTTCTCGACGGATGATGATGGTGTGGACATGTGACGAGGAGGGTTTAGGTACGGAGGACCACCTGGTCCCCTGGTTGGGTTGCTCGCTCTTCTTGGCCGCCGCCACTGTGTTTCTTGTCCCGCCTCGGCGGCTGCCATTCGTTTCTCTCGGACAGGCTGCATTGTTGATGCTCCGAGTCCGGGGACGCGAGATGATGACTGTCCTGGCCACAGTAATTTGGGAGGGGATTCTGTCCTTCGTGCCCACGGCCGGACGCCGGACCTCGTAGCGTTTGATGTACGCCGCCTGACGCTGCCGCTTGAGCGGCTTGGCGCTTGGTTCGTCAGATTCGCCTGATAGGAAGGAAGATAATCCGCATAAGTGAATGCCACCTGCCACATCTTCCGGGACATCTTTGTTCTCGATGTCGATCATCTGTCGAGGAGGAGTGTTCGGGCGGTGGACCGGGCTGCCCTCCTAGGTATCTTCTGTCCTCGAGCGCTTGTGAAAGAGACGTGCTGTTTTGGCGAGCCGCGAGCGCTAAAACCTGAAGTGTTCGGTGCAGGGCTCGGTTCTGCAGACAGGTTCAGAGCTGAGACCGTCGCTGCACCCAAAAATGGAGTAATAAAGTAGTCAGGATGGGGCGGGGGGATGAAGGATGACGAGGAGGGAGCATGATAATGATTGAATGGAGGACGAGAGTTATGTCTATGACTGAGCATGATGCTTGTGACCATGACGGTGATGACGTGTAGATGACGTCCATGGCAATGACAACGACGAAGACGAAGGCGATGTCGATGACGACGACGATGAGTACGGATGATGATGATGATGATGATGATGCTGATGATGCTGATGATGCTGATGATGCTGATGCTGATGTTGATGCTGATGATGATGATGATGATGATGATGATGATGATGATGATGATGATGGCGACGATAATGATGGTGGTGATGATAGTCATGCTGAGTATGGTGGTGATGATGCCGATGGTGATGGTTATGGTGATGGTGAGGATGAGGATGATAAGGGTGAGGATTACAATCATGATGCTGATGGTGATAATTATTATGCTGATGCTGATGCTGCTGCTGATGATGACGATGATGATGCTGATCATGCTGATGAGGTTGATGATGGCAATGGTGATGACGATGGTGATGATGATGGTGATACGAATGTGATGATGCCGATGGCGATGACGGCTATGATGATGAGTCCCACGACGATCATTGCGATGACGAACACGACGATGACGATAGCGAAGACGACGTACGACAACGACGGTGGTCCGCCGACACTGGCCAGGCGCAAACGATAGTGATTATCGACGAGGCCGCTCAGGACAACGATGGCGTTGCCTGTGATTGATGGTAGTGAGCACGACGCCCGTAATTGATGCGATACTGCTATGCGCGGTGCTGGCGTTTAGGTCGAGGATGACGATGACGATGACGTTGATGTTGGGGGTGATGGTGATGGCGGTGACCATGGCTGTGACTGTGATGATGATGAGGATGAGGAAAAGGAGGAGGAGGATGAGGATGGTACCGAAAATGGTGCTGACGACTATGTTGCCGATGACGGTGCCGACGTTGTTGATGAGGATGAGGACGGTAGTGACCGGGCCATCTGGTGATGGCGGTGGTACTGTGTGGTGGTGGTGATGCCCCGGAGGATGGGAGAGGCGGGGCCGAGGTTGCGCCCGTATCGCCAGCCTGCCACCGACTCACTCCATGCGCCCCCCTGCCCTTGGCGCCAGCGCCCAGCCTCGGGCGGCCTCGCAGGACCCCGAGGGCGACGTGCCGAGCGACGCCGCCGCGCACGGCACGCTGGTGCCGCTGCTGCGGCTGGCGCGGGTGCCCGCAATGGTCCGGGGTTCCGGTCGTATTTTTCCAGCGTCGGATCGTTCTGGGTTCAGTCTCCTCCTCCTCCTCCTCCTCCTCCTCCTCCCATGCGAGCATCCTGCAGAGATCGTTCTGGGCTCAGCCTCCAGCAGGGCGGTGGCCCCCGCCCGCAGCGGCTGCGCGCCCGGCCCCTCGTCGCCACCTTCGTCAGGAGGAGGAGGAGGAGGAGGAGGAGGAGGAGGAGGAGGGGGAGGAGGAGGAGGGGGAGGGAGGAGGAGAGGGAGGAGAGGAGGAGGAGGAGGAGGAGCAGGAGGAGGAAGAGGAGGAGGTGGGGGAGGAGGACATCCTGCAGAGATCGTTCTGGGCTCCGTCTCCAGCAGGGCGGTGGCCCCCGCCCGCAGCGGCTGCGCGCCCGGCCCCTCCGTCGCCACCGTCGTCGCTCGGCGGTCGGCCTGTCGCCGTGGTGCGGGGGCCGGATGAGGAGGAGGAGAAGGAGGAGGAGAAGGAGGAGGAGGAGGACGAGGAGGAGGAGGGAGGAGGGAGGAGGAGGAGGAGGTGGAGGAGGAGGAGGGAGGAGGAGGAGGAGGAGGTGGGGGAGGAGGACATCCTGCAGAGATCGTTCTGGGCTCCGTCTCCAGCAGGGCGGTGGCCCCCGCCCGCAGCGGCTGCGCGCCCGGCCCCTCCGTTGCCACCGTCGTCGCTCGGCGGTCGGCCTGTCGCCGTGGTGCGGGGGCCGGATGAGGAGAAGGAGGAGGAGGAGGAGGAGGAGGACGAGGAGGAGGAGGAGGACAGGGAGGAGGAGGAGGAGGAGGAGGAGGAGGGGGAGGAGGAGGAGGAGGATGAGGAGGAGGAGCATGGTCCCCGAATAGCAAGGAGGGGCGGAGGAGGAGGAGGAGGCAAGAGGCGGAGCAGGACGGAGGAGGGGGGTGACGATGGTGTGATGATGTTTGTGGTGGTGATGAGGATGATATGATGAAACTGATGATCTGGTGATGATGGTGGTCTGCTGGTGGAGGTGAAGGCAACACATGCCGATTATGATTCTGATGATGACGCCGAGAAAGAGGGGAGATGTTGAGAGGAGAGGCCAGGCAAGGACACTTAATAGAGGATATCCCCGATGAGCTCCGTGGAGGGAGTGGTGAGGTGAGTGCGGAGGAGCGGAGGAGGGATGGTGGAGTAGGAGGAGGGGGGAACGGATGATGAGGAGGAGGAGGAGGAGGAGGAGGAGGAGGAGGAGGAGGGGCAGGGGGCAGAGGAGGGGGAACGAGGATGATGGACGAAACGGGTGAAAAGGAGGCTCTATTGCTCTCCCCCACCTTTCCTACCACGCTTCCTGTTCCCCCCTTCCTCCCCCCTCAATCTCTCGTCCCTCGGTCTCCATCCCCCCCGTCTCTCTTCCTCTATCTCTCTCTCTCTCTTGCTGTCTGTCTCTCTTGCCTTGCCTCCATCCATCATGTCTCTCCCCCCTCTTCTCTACTCACTCCTACCTCGTCCACGGCCCTCATGCCTTGTGTTGATGTTGCATCAAATGCTCTCGACAAGGGTGTGTTCTTGCTATCCCACAAGTCTCCGACGATAAGGTGCTGCGGTCCACGGACAATTAGCATTTATGCACGTGGTTCTAGTTCGAAATTTCTCTCGCTCTCTCTCTCTCTCTCGCGCGTATACTTATATAGAGGGTTTCGCCCCCTACCGCTGGCCACCTCTCTCGGCGAACGGGGCATGCAAGAGCTATGAAGCCTGGGCGCCGTCGTGAAGCAGCGTCGGAACTCCGGGCGGAGGCCACTGAAGCTATGAGTGTGCCAAAATCCATCACAACCTAAGGACCATCGCAGATGTTGGCCTCTTGGGCCCCTCTTGGGGGTGCTCTTGGAGCGCTCTTAGGGGCCTCATGGGTGCCTCTTGGTCAGTCTTGGGAACATCATCTTGGTCTCCTTGATAATCTCGTGGGCCGTCTCGGAGGCCTCTTGTACCATCCTGAGTGTCTTTTATAAACGGATTTGTGGTCTCGAACGAGTGAATTTTTGTACTTCGGGGTTGATGATGCCGTGGACGCGACGAACGCGTAATGTACGAGGGATCGTGGATTCGGGGGCGCACGCGTTGTATAGTTGACGACCGATAACATCCTCGGAGACACGAGCACTGAGTAAGTTATAGAGTAATGTTCTCGGGAGCGCGGGCATAGCGTAATTTGCAAGGGTTTGCTGCTTCGGGGGCGCGAACATGGCGTAATTCACCAGAGATTCTGGTTTCGGGGTTAATGTCCTAGGCCCCCCCTAGAAATTCTGTGAACCCCCAAGGTGAAGGTCACCGGGGCCTTTTTTGGGCTCCCCCCCTCGCGTTGAACAGTTTTCAATAGGAAGCAGAGCACAGAATTGTAGCATCGGAGATTGAAAAGTGGAATTGGAGCAGGGAGCAGCAAGCCTACTCCCCAGAGCCTGATGGCCTCGCAAGGGTGCTGGTGGATATGTCACATATGTTTATATACATATGTATATACACATACATAGATACGTATATATCCAGAACGAGTGTGGGCGTCAGCATTTGCTCAGAGAACCAAGGAGCACTTCTCTCGGAAGGTTGTTCCTTTATTCTGATCAGGTCTCAGAAGTAGATAGGGACGATCTCTCGCATTCATTGTATTTCTGGGCCCTTCATGCTCCACGTCACAGAGAACTTTTATGCCGACGATACTACTTTCAGCGACGGCGTGTTGATTCCATGCGCGCGGTTGTATCGCTCAGTTCGGTTGGGAGCAGAGGGTCGCAGAGGATGAGTGAACGAATAATTACTGACGCTTTGCGTATCCTCCAGCAGTGCCTAGGTGCGGTCGTTGCTCGGGCCTCCGCGGACACGTCTCCGTTGTCGCAGGCTGCATTTGGGCATCGTGGTTACTCGGTTCTGACAGCTCGGGGCTATCGACGTCTGACGGCTGGCGTGGTATTGAGTACCCGATCGCCCACTCGCGGCAAACACTCGAAGTACAACGAGGTCATGGTGGTCACATGCCCGGTCCTTCGCCTCTGAGCTGCGCCGCGCGTTTTTTTCTTTTTCGCTCCGTTCGTCGTTCTTTCGTGTCGTTCTTTCCCGCTTCGCCTCGTTTTCGCAGCTCTTGCGCAGCCGTTGCGTAGTGTAGTGGCCCCTGTTTTCCCGCGTCTGGCCGGCGAGATTTACGCTGTGACCTCCAGCCTCCGCTCCTAGCACGACCTTTCCGAAGGATCTCTGCGAGCTTGTCTGGAGCTCTTCGGGAACTTTGGAAGGTGGGTCTTGAGGAGGGAAGGAAGGGATGGCGGAGGGGGAGGTGGTGAGTCTCTTGGACCCCCTTGGAGGCAATTGGGCCCTCTTGGGACCAGCTTGAAAGACCATCGATCAACAAAAGGGCGCGGCGTCAATTGTGGTCCCCCCGTCGGGGCGCGACACTTGGCCTTTGGGGGCCCTCTTGAAACGCTCTTGGGGCGCACTTGGGCGCTCTAGGAGTTTTCTTGGAGCCCGAACCGGGCCCCTTTCGGGGCCGTCGTAGGCCATCTTGGAGGCGCCCTGAAGCCTCAAGAGCCCATCGGAAGCGAAATGGCGAGAAAACGCAACGCATGTACACTCACCATAGGGCTGTGAAGGAGTTTGCCCTCCCGGTGGCCTCTGTGTGAATGTCGGAGTCGGAGAGCACTTGGAGCCGTCCTGGGGCGGTCTTGAGGGCTCTTCGAGGCAGTTTGGAAGCTAACTTGAACCATCTTGGGATAAGTCCAGCGGCCTTGAGGCAATCGGGCTGTGTGGGGTGGACCAGCGGGAGGGGTGGGACAGGTCCCTTTTGCCGAAGAGGAATACGGGGGTTAACAAAACGAGCTCTTTAGACCACCCATGCCCAATGAGGATGGTGGGCTTCCGTATGGCGAAACGTCACGAATAGAATTTCAAGTGTGTTTGCTTCGCCTGGCGTGCCATGCCATGTTCTTTACCATTGTGTTTCTGGCGCTCCCGGGCCCCGCTGAGTGCCTGTTAGAGGTGCCGGTTCTGCGGGGCGTTTTCTTCGGCGCCTGCCCTGCCCTGTCCTCGACGCGGGATCAATAACAGTGTCAAATGACACGCCGCCGTCGGGAGCACGTCACCGCGCAACTCTCGGAAAGAAGCGTCGTGCTTCCAGGCAGCGGCGAACAGGCAACACGCGGACGGGCTCCCGGCGGCGGCGTATCAGTGATACTTTCATTTTGTTGCCTCCCTGCTCGAGCCTCGATGCTCGATTTTCGAGCATCCTTGGGCAACGCGAGGGGGACACTCGCGGGCGGACTCCGGACGGCGGCACGTCATCGATATATCTTGTCTGTTGCTCCTTCCCTCAAGTGAGGAAAAGCAGCAAATCAGGTCCCGACGATAGGAGTTTATTCAGCTCTGCCCGGTTCGATTCCTTCCTTGGGGGCATTTGCTGAACGGCTTTGCTTGTCCGGGAGAGTACTCTGGGGGGATATTTTGCCTTGCGCTCCCGATTCGAACTTCGACCTTCGATCCTCCCGATCAAACCAGTATCCACGACACGCCGCCGTCGGGAACTCATGACCGTGCGTGCGGTCAACGCAACAGCGGAGCAACACGCGGACTGGCTGCCGACGGCGCCGTGCCATGGATCATCGGTTCTCCTTCCCAGCTCAAACTTCCATCCTCGAGCCTCGGTCCTCGAGCCTCGATCCTCGGGTTTCATTCCTCGGACTTCGTGCCTTGAAACCTCGAGCCGCCATCCTCGTTGCTCGAGCCTTGAGCCTCGAGCCGCGTCCCTTCATGTTCGAGCCCCTGAGCCTCGATCTGCAATCCTCGGACCTCGATCCTCGATCCTCGAACCTCGCGCCTCGAGCCTTGAGCCTCGAACCTCGAGTCTCGATCCTTGAACCTCGAGCCTCGAGCATAGATCATCGAACCTCGAGCCTCGATCCCCGAGCCTCGAGCCTCACGCCTCGATCCTCGATCTTCCCTCCTCAAGCTCCGATCCTGGGTCCTCGAGACCCGATCCTCGATCTTCGATCCCTCAATCTCGAGCCCCGAGCCTCGATCCTCGTCCCTCGATCCTCGAAACACGCCCCTCTTCTCGTCGAGCCTTGAACATCGAGCCTCGATCCTTGAACCTCGATCCTCGAGCCCCGACCCTTGATTCTCGAGCCGCGATCCGCAATCCTCGAGCCTCGAACCTCGAACCTCGATCCTCGCCCCCCGAAATTCGAGCCTCGAACATTGATCCTCGAACCTCGAGCCTGGAGCCTCGAACCTCGAGCCTCGAACCTCGATCCTCGAGCCTCGATGCTCGTCCCTCGATATTCGCGCCTCGAGCCTCGAACCACGATCCTCGAGCCTCGACCCTCAAACCTCGAGCCTCGACCCTGGAGACTCGAGACTCGAACCTCGAGCCTCGAACCTCGAGCCTAGATCCTCGAGCCTCGAGCCTAGATCCTCGAGCCTCGCTGCTCAACCGTCGATCCTCCGGCTTCGATTCTCGAGCTTCGAACCTCGATTCTCAATCTTTGGTCATCGAATATTAACCCTCGAGCTTCGTGCCTCGAACCTCGCGCCTCGATCCTCAGGCCTCGAACTTCGTGCTTCGATCCTCGCGCTTGGAATCTCGAGCCTCGAGCATTGAGCCTCGAGGCCTCGAGCCTCGTCCTCGAGCCTCGCTGCTCGATCTTTGGCCATCGAGCCTCGAACGTCGATCATCAAACCTCGAGCCTCGATCCGCGAGCCTCACTGCTCGATCGTCGATCCTCGAGCCTCGAGCCTCGATCGTCGAACCCCGATCTCGAGTCTCGAGCCTTGAGCCTCGAGCCTCGGTCCTCCTGCCTCGATCCTCGAGCCTTCATCGTCGAAGCGCGAGCCTCGATCCTCGAGCCTCGAGCCTCGAGCCTCGAACCTCGAGCCTCGAATTTCGAGCCTCAATCCTTGAGCCTCTCGCTTCGAGCCTCGGACCTCGACCCTCGAACACGCATATGATGTCGAGCCCCGATCCTCTAACCTTGGATCTCGATCCTCGACTTTTCGCCGCTCGAACCTCTGGCCTCGAGCCTCGCGCCTCGCGCCTCGAGCCCCGATCGTCGAGGCTCGAGCCTCGAGACTTGGTCTTTGATTGTCGAGCCTCGAGCCTCGCACCTCGATCTTCGTTCCCCCCCCCCTCGAGGAGCGCGATCCTTGAACCTCGTGCCTCGATCTTCGATCATCGAGTCTCGATTCTCGGTCCTCGAGCCGCGAGCCTCGATCCTCGAGCCGCGCTCCTCGAGCCTCGATCCTCGAGTCCCGAGCGTTGAACCTCGCTTTTCGATCCTCGAACTTCAAACTCCATCCTCGATCCTCGTCCCTCGAACTTCGAGCCTCGAACTTTGATCCTCGAACCTCGAGCCTGGAGCCTCGGCCCTCGAGCACCGACCATCGAACCTCGAGCCTCGATCCTCTAGCCTCGAACCTCGAGCCCGAACCTGGAACCTCGAGCCTCGGTCCTTGAGCGCCGCTTGTCGAGCCTCGATTCGTACATCGATCCTCGACCGTCGATTCTCGAACCTCGATCCTCGACCGTCGATCCTCGAACGTCGATGCTCGAACGTCGGGCCCCCGAAGCTCGGACCTCGGCCCCCCGAACGTCGACCCCCCGAGCCTCGAACATCGATGCTCGAGCCTTGGTCCTCGAGGCTCGAGCATCGAACCTCGAGCCTCGACCCTCGAATCTTGACCCTCGAACCTCGATGCTCGAATCTCGATCCCCGGACCACGATTCTCGAACCACGATCTTCGATCCTCGAAACTCGAGCCTCGAGCCTCTAGTCTCGAGCCTCCAACCTCGAGCCTCGAACTGTGAGCTGCTGACCTCGGTCCTCGAGCCTCGGTCCTCGATTCCCGCCTCTCGAGCCTCAAACCTCAATCCTCGATCCGGGCACCTCGATCCTCGACCCTCGAACATCGATCCTCCAGCCTCGATCCTCGATCCTCGAAGCGCGATCCTCGATCCTCGAGCCTCGATCCTCGAGCCTCGAATCTCGAGCCTCGAATCTCGAGCCTCGAATCTCGAGCCTCGAGCCGCGATCCTCAATCCTCGAACCGCGATCCTCGAGTCTCCAGCCTCGATCCTCGATCCCCGATCCTCGGTTTTTTGAGCCTCGATCTTCGAACCTCGATCCTCGAGCCTCGAACTGCGTTCCTCGAACTGCGAGCTTCGATCCTCGCGCCTCGAGCCTCGAACCACGATCCTCGATCCTCGATCCTCGAAGCTCGATCCTCGAACCTGGATCCTTGAGCCTCGGTCCTCAGTCCTCGAACCTCGAGACTCGATCCTCGAACCTCGAAGCTCGGTCCTCGAGCCAACCGCGATCCGCGAGCCTCGATCCTCGAGCTTTGAGCCTCGCTCCTCGATCCTCTCGAGCCTCGAACCTCGAGCCTCAAGCCTCGATCCCATCAAGCCTGGAGCCTCGATCCCCAGGCCACGAACCTTGACTCTCGAGCCTCTAGCAGAGATCCTCGAGCCTCGGTCCTCGAGCCTCGAGCCTCGATCCTGAAACCTCGAGCCGCGATCCTCGAGCCTCGAGCCTCGATCCTCGATTCTCGAAACTCGACCCTCGAGCCTCCGGCCTCGCCCCTCGAGCGGCGAGCCTCGAACCTCGAGCCTCGAGCCTCCGACCTCGAGATCCTCGCCCCTCCATCCTCGGGCCTCGCTCCTCGAGCGGCGACCCCTCGAACCCTGGTCCTCGCTCCGCCCTCCTCGAGCCTCGAGCCCGGAGCCTCGGGCCTCGGGCGGCGCCCCCGTGGGCTGCCGCCCGCAGCCGCGGCCCCCTGGGCAGGTCGCGGGGCCGAGCGGCGAGGCCATCGCCGGCGAGGAGGGCCGCGCCGCGCGCCGCGCGCCCCCCGCGGAGGAGCACGAGGCCACGTGAATGACATCCCGGATGCCTGGCATCGCTCGGACGAGTGCATTTTTCCTTCGGCGAGGACCATCGAGGAGCATCCTTGACCATCTGGCGAAAAAACCACGCACGGAACCGAAAACGACACAGGAAAATGAAAGTCCGAGCGATGGCCAGAGGGGGGGTGGATATCATGGCGTGGGCCATGATATCTCCCCAGATTTCATGGCGCCCCTTCTTATTTCATTGCGTCCCTGGCCCCCCCGCTGGGCCGCGCACATGCCGCCAGTCCTGATTTGCACCCCCCCCCCTCTTGGACACCCCCCTCTCGGCCGCTCCCGAGTGCGGTAGGTTCGCGTCGTGCCGACTCGCCGCGGCCCCGACCGTCCACGGTGGAACGATCCGCGCGGTGTCAGGAGCCGATGCTGGGGTCGTCACGCCACGAATCCGCCGTGCAGTGGAGGCCCAGGCCAGTCGCTCAGAAAAGGGGGAGAACCCAGGGGTACACCCCAAGGGGGCTCTTCGGACGCACCCCTATTAAGGATGGACGCCCCCCCATCGTATATCCCCCGCCGTATTCTGGCCCATTCGAAAAACAAAGAAGCCTGGGATAGGGATCGACATGCAGTGGAAACCCATGCCAAGAAGCACCCTGCCTGCCTCCAGGGTGCCCTGGGTTTCTTGGGGTTGCCATGGAGGGCGCGACGTTCCCACACAAACAACCAATGGACGTCCTGGGGTCTCAGGGTTGGGTTTCTTGTGGAAGGCTTCTTGTGGTCGATCGCCTGCCGTGTAGCCAGGACCCCGTCTGAGGGGAGCAGTGATTGGGCCCAGGACTCCATCACATGGACACTAGTCACTAAGCCACGTCTGCCGCAGCTGGTGTGTGTTCGGGTGGCGGTGGTTGCGGCTTGCGGAATGGGGCGGGGGGGGGGCCGTCCCCTGGTACACATCACGAAGGCAGGTTCCATGAAGCCCAGTCCTGCCAATGCCCGACCCGAACGCATCCCGAGCCAATCTTATCATGGCATTACTCTCGCCCCCCAAACGGCAGAAGCACTGAACTCTCGGAGGTCCGCGCGGTCTTTTTTTGAACATTAGGCGCTGGGGCCCCCCTCCCTGTCACGCGGGGGCGGCGCCTCCAGGGGGCGCCAGCGCCGATGCAAGAGAGGGAATCCGCGCGAAGCTCCACAAGAGCGGGGGGCCCAGCAAAATACAAAGAGCACGGATGTTTGGCCGATCTTCCACCACCACCACCACCACAGGCAGGAGGGGGAGAAGGAGGAGGAGGAGGAGGAGGAGGAGGCGGCGGCGGCGAATCGGTATCGGGTCGTACGTCGAGCACTCGACAAAACCACATCACCCCAGGAACAACCTCGGAGGACGTGCGACCTACCGTGCACTCGAAAGCGAAGAAACGCCAGGCCCCAAGTTGTAGCTCGCTCAACCTCGGCGAACCTCGGAACGGGAGGACCTGGGCCCGATCGGCAGCAAGCAGCAACGACCGAACGACGACGACCGCAGGGCCTAGGTCCTGAAACAAAGTTAAAGAAGCCGTGGCCACGGGCCTACTCACGGGTAAAAAGTTTGACCAGCTCTTTGAAACTCAAAGGCGTCCCCTGCACTCGCGGAGGCTGCTCACTCACAGGTCGGGACAAATTTCTTTGTCGCCTTTCGTTCTCGACACTGGTCGCTCGAATAATCCTCGGCACACCTCTCTCCTCGTCCGTCACATCCGTCCCCTGTAGCACCCTCTCCTGTTCACGTCCTCTAAGACCCTGGTCTACATTCCCTCGAACTCGTCCATTGCCGCCTGCAGAATACGTTCCACGTTCGACCTCGGGGCCATACCTTCCTTGAGATCCCCTCCCAGCTGCACGACACAGTCTGTGAACACCTTCTGCATCTTCTGATCCGACAAAGACACCAGTAGCTTGGCGGAGTTCTCCTTGAACGCTGAACTGATCCTGAACCCTCTCACCAACGCCACTAGATCGCGCTGATCGGTGATCCCGTCGATCTGCTGCTTGCACACTGCCCACGCCTCTTTGTTCCTGGCTCCGGCACGATCCCCCTCTTTGTGTAGTTGATCTGCCACGACCATGAATATCTCGCAGCAAGCAGGTCCCATCTGCACCTCTGGGATTGGTGAGTTGGGATCTTTGGCGTGAGCCTCTCTCATGGCGATCGCCTGCTGCGCGTACGCGCGCCCTGCCTGGAAGGCCACCTTGGCCAGCACGTTGTCCTCCGCCACTATTATTGTCTGAAACTCCGCCGCCATGAGAAGCCGCAGCTGGAACGTGTTCCCGAGAACGGCCCTGACGAGGACAGGCATCAGGCGGCTCATTGTCTGGGAGTCCATCAGTGGCAGCTTCTCCATCACGTTCTCGTCGAGTCCGTACTGCTTCGAGAGCGCCGCCCGAACCGCGGGGCCGCCTGCTCGCTTCTGCTGGGCCGCGGCTGCGGGCTGCTGTGCGACCGCGAGCTGCCTTTCTCCGCGTCGGCGCCCACGGCGCTGGGAACCAGCGGCTGACCCACTGCGGCCGCGCTGGTGTCGCGGGGCGCCTGCTCCTCGCCCCTCGGATCGGGAGCGTGCCTGCTCGAGATGCTCTGAGCTCAACTTGAACATGCCGAGCCGCTGGAGCTGGAACGTGAGAGGCTAGGTGATCATGTAGGGCCGAAAGATTGTCAAAACCCGCCTCTCTCGAGCAGCACGGCTCCTGATTGTGACCTCCCAAGACTGACGCAACCGTAATCCGTGTAAGTGGACACTCCAGGACCTCTGGTGTTTGAACCCGATGGTGGTAGATAGTCGTCACAGGGCACCGTTTCTGGAGGACCGCTTGTAGTGCGTGTGACTGTGCAATACGCCGCGTGCGGAATGTGTGTCTACAGAATGGGCACTGATTTGTAACCGTAACGCTGTGTACCATTGACCTCATGTTGTGCCCTCCCGCCCTTGAGAACCTCTGGTGCGCCAGCAGAGCCCGTCGAGTTTTGAACTGTCTCCCGCAGACAGTGCCCACAGAATCGGTTAATTCGCATGTCCATGGGTACGGATCTGGTGGAGGTGGGGCTTCTGGGGGAGCCACTGTAGGAGCCACAGGAGCATACAGGCCAGGAGGTGGAGGGATGACCACAGCCTTTGCAGCCGCTTGCAGCACACAAGGGTCGATGCGTAGAAAGCGGTCACGCACGTAAGCATCCAGAAACAGAGCCCGAACGTTCACCCGTAGCGGGTCTGGCGTCGGAGGCTCGTAAACAAAGAGGTCCTCCAGGAAGTCGCGGTCCTCAGCGCGATTCAGGAGTCGAATAACATCCACTGCGAACCTTCATGCAAAAGGGTTCGCCTCCGACGAGATGGTGCCGTCGGGAGTGAGAGTCGATGCCGACTCTACTGGTAGTTGGCCAAACACCGCAGCGATCTCTTGAGAGTGGCATTCGGGGCGACACAGCCATCGATGATATGTACGCAACCTTCGCACTCGTAGCTCGGTACCCGTGGGGGCCACACCCAGGCGTCGCAATACGTCTTCATCCTTCAGTGCCTTATACCGTAGTAGTGGGGTCCCATCGGCGGCCAGCAGAGGCGTCCCATCGGGTCCCAAGATCTCCGTTTTGACACACGCGTCTCCTCCCAAGAGTTTGCGACCAAACCCCGTCAGCACACGATCCAACCTCCTTTCCTGCGTGGGCGACAGTATCATCGTGTTGAGACCGCTAAGCAGGGCCCCTTGCACAATAGCCCCAAAGACAGCCCGTGTGAACCTCCACACCCGATTGCGGGCCCAGAATCTTCCCATCGAGTAGTAGCCCCTCCTACATGCCAAGATACGCCTCTGTGTTTCGGTGTTCGTGCCGCCATTAGCTGACGTCGAGATCCCCAGAGATACATGATCAAACTGAACATCCCCAGCGACAGGAGGAGGAGGAGGAGGAGGAGGATAGGAGGAGGAGGAGGAGGAGGAGGAGGAGGAGGAGGAGGAGGAGGAGGAGGAGGAGGAACGTCCCCATTTTCCTTCCCCCGCGTCCTGCCCTGAGGCAGTGGTGGTGGGGTGGTGGATCAAATTGGCCCCTCCACGGAGCTCCAGCATTGCCGAGGCACTGCGCGGGGGGGGCGCTGCGCCTCCCTTCGCCGCCCCTGGCGCGTTCCGCGCGCCCAGGGAGGGGGTGGGAGGGGGGCAGCGCCGATCCGAGCAGTCCCCGCAGACCTCTGGGCATTGATGCTTGTGCCGTTCTCTGCTGCCTCCTGGGGAGGGCTCCAGGGAGGGGGGGGGAGGGGGGCAGGGGGGGAGCGGGGGAGGGGGGCAGCGCAAGATCCGAGAAGTCCTCGCGGATCTCCGGGCACTTATGCTTGTGCCGTGTTCGGGAGCCAAGAGACGGGGGTCAATGCAGACGGGGGTCAGCCAGGGCGCCAGATCCTACAGGATCCTGCGGAGACCCCCTCTGGCCGACCCGGGTTCGTGAGCCGCTCGTGGCCGCGAGGCGGCCGCGCCTATTGGCTGACCCGGGTTTGCGAAGACCTGCGTTGCAGTTTTTTTTCCTGCATTGCAGTTTTTTGGTTTCCTGCTGACCCCTGTCTGGATTGACCTGGGTCAGAAGATCCCCGACGTTTTCTGCTTCCTCTGGGGAGGGCTCCAGGTTTCCAGTCATAGGGGCGCCAGCTGGTGGCCCGCCGGCGCTCTGAAGGAAGACTGAGCTCCAGCGAAACTCTTCAGGCCCGCCTGCGGGGGGAGGACGAGGTTGTGGGAGGCTGGGGGGAGGTGATGATAGTGAGGATGAGAGGGGAGGCCGGGGGAGAAGGCTGGGGGACGAGGAGGCTTGGGGAGGATGCGGGGGGCGGAGGGGGAGGAGGCGGAGGAGGAGAAGCAGGAGGAGGAGAAGCAGGAGGAGGAGAAGGAGGAGGAAGAGGAGGGGCAGGGAGTGGGTGGTGGAGGTTACGAGGATGAGGAGGATGATGAGGATCATGCGGATGA